CTGCCATCACTGATGGCTCCCACTTCCTGCCACTTCTGCCAGGCAGAACCATGGATCCCATTTTCATGAATAGTCAATCCTGCCCTTCCTTCTCCCAGCTGTTTTTTTGTTTGTTTGTTTGTTTTTATTAAATGCTGTGTAATATATTCCAGGTTTCACTAAAAATACTCGAAAGTTACCTACCTGTTCAGAACTCTCCAGCACTTTCCCATTTATACCTACACACTTCACCAAAGTTAGCAAAGTAACATTTTTTTTCTTTGTGCTCAACGACACAAAATGCCTCAACGACAGAAATGCAAACTCTTCTTTTTCTTCTATTAGGGACAGAATAGCTTAAACTGAGGAACACATGGACAAACAAATGAAATCTCCTCTTTTTTCACGACTCCCTTCTGACTCAAACCACAGATGCTTTATCACCTCTCTCATGCGTCCTAATGCCCCTCCTTGTGTTCTGTTCTATTACTAAGCTTCACAGCAGCACAGAAAGCTAAGTCACTTAAGACCATCAGGTCTAATAAATCAGGACAAGTTTAAGACTTGCAATCTTTCTGTGCGTTCTCACCTAACTGAGAAACCACTACTACAGATTTCAGAGGCTGAGAAAATTCAGGAGCAACTAAATAGCTCTTTTCCAAGCTCCTATCAAGGAGGTGCAGTTGGTTGTTTGAAATTTCATTGCTGCTTGCACAAAACCGTTTTGTTGTTGCATGCATGTAATACTTTTGCAGTTCTTTTTGATAATGAATTGTTTTCCATATCGCAACTCGGTCTCTCCTAAGTTTCACGGAAGTTCTCTGCATACAAAACATACCAATTCCCAACAAACATTTACATCTGAAATAATTTAAAGCATTAAAAATTCTCTTCAGTCAAAAATCCTCAACTAGGTCCTCCATGTCCAAATAGTAAGCAAGTAGTATAATTCCACTCATAAGCTTTGATACCTTAAAAATCTACCCTGACACCAGTTACACTCCAATACCAACTGAGTAAGAAAAACATTTTCCTGGTTGTCTGAAACAATTAACCCCAGAGCTGTTTAGAGCTCTTTAATTAGAGAGCCCTGACTTTCTCAGCACAAACAGTCTTGTTTAGCTAGATGTTAAAACTGCTCAATTTTCTTCTTAGTAAGAGCACTGCACCATTTCCTATACAGCTTTTAACTCCTCACTCATTTTTTCAGGGTCTCTGCCTGCACCAGAAGCTCTAAAGCAGCACTGGGTTTGTTCCTACCCTACTAATGCCCTGCCCACTGCCTAGAGGGGCAAGACACCACCAAGCAACAAATCATTCACACAGCACTGTACTATTAAAACAAACAAACAGAAGTGGATGACAATTCATTATCACTAACTCAAATCAGATTGACAGAACAAGCTATCAAAACCAAATGCAAGACAGCGTCAGAAATATTTCTGTTTCATTATTTCAGAAGAAAGGACACACAAGAAAGCTACCTCCTCCTTGAGTGATCAGAACAAATAAGACAAAGAAGTTTAGAAAAATTTTCGTGATAAATCCCTTGTCTAGAACATGGCTTCAGATTAGATAGCAACTTAATATCAGAGGCAAATAGATAATGCTGAGAAACAGGCACAGAATCCAATTGCACAGGCAGCATCCAGACATGGCTGACAAAAGTAGCCTCTTATTTTCTTCAGAGCTTTCCAGCATTCAAGTATTTCTCTTATCAGCCTCAACCAACAGAGCTGTCCCCTGCTACCGCCTGCATTTCACCCAGCAAAAAACCAAGCTGATCTGTCGTGTACAAGGCCACCTGCCATTAAAAAAAAAAAAAAAACAACAGCAAAATAAATAAGTTTCTTTTCCCTGAATTCATAACATAATGTAGATTGGAGTTGATTTATTACGTTGGAAGGCAAGTCAAGTCTTTACTTGTTGATGCTGGGATCTCAAAGGGTATGGCGAGTACCCACAGAGCAAAACATGCAGTGATACGACATGCTTAAGGACATGACAATTAGTATTCTTCAACACAGTTTAAACCTAACTTAACTGTGGTTTTTTTGTTTTCTTTTTTGAGACCTTAATAAGGTGCACGTCTTCCTATTTATTTACGCACACTGTGGTCGCTCCTACTTACACAATGGCTGTTTTTCCCCCAGCATTGCTCATTCAGTACACATCAGATCTGCCACAGAACCGAGGCAGTTAAGTGTCACTTATGCAACTAGGGGACTCTGCTCAGATTACTGCACAGGATCTACATGATAACAAGAATAACAATGAACCACTTCCAGAATATCCACGCTTCCTAAATGTTGTCAACTACAACCCCCCATACCTCCTGCAAAGAATGTGATTGATACACATTAGCAAAGAAAATAAATAAATAACATTTGCCAGGATCAAAGCCACGACTATAATTTACTGCCTCCTGAATCCTGCGCTCAAACCCACAGACCCAATGCTGAGTATCAGAAGCTCGCACTGACTTCGCTTTGATCACCGCTGCACACCAGAGCCCAGATGTCTGAACCGACACACAGAAAATAGGAAAACTCCCTATGAATAACAAGGAACCAAGACAGGCTCTCCACTTTGGCAATCAGCACCTTCACCACAACGGCTGGCTTTCTCTTCCTGAATACTTTCTTCTATAATTTGGAAGAATAGCTACATTCATTAGATAGCATGAGTCAGAGTAACTTCTTGAACCGAGTCTCTCTTGTGCACATTTTCATTGCCTACCCTTCAGTATTTTATTATTTCTTCTGGCAGCGGTGGGTTTGTTGTTGTTTTTAAGGGAGAAGAAAGAGGAGGAGAACAGAACAACTATTCAATCACACGCAATGACCTCCTCATCACTCCACTTCCATGTTAGCAGTACATTGTGCACCCCAGCACCCTCACACACAGCTGTGCAGACATGAGCATCTCTTCCTAAGCAGCATGTTAATTACTCTGGCAGAAGTTTGTTAAGCCAGGAGGGAATTGATCTGTTAAACTGCATAATTAGCCCGGACAGAGCAGGGACATGGATATCGGAGCGTCAAACGAGAAAAGGTTGTGAACTCCAACCTCAGCTCTCTGTTCTAGGAGGTTATGTCTCCTTCTCCCTTTCAACACTGGAATCACAAACAACCAGCACGAATCCAAACTCAGGTTTCTCCCCTTCCGCTTGCCTGCAGATCCCCAGCACAGGGTCTGCAGCTGCTGCAGGAGCGGCCTTTCAGAGCACTGCCCCTAGGGAACGCTCTGCCGCCAGCATCCTGCGGGCAAATCAACAGCCATTTATCCTGCCTGCCTTTCGGCAGTGAACCATCACAAGGACAGCTCACTGAGAGGGGGTGGGACACGAATATCTGATAAATCCAGGTCCAGAGTCAAGCCATTACTTTTTAAAATTTCAGATGCGTTAAGATAACAAAAGTTACCCACAGCACTTGATCGAAAGGAAATGCCACATGAAATACAGCAGCGCTTAGCAGATTTCATAGGTTTCCTGATGGTGATTAGCTCGTTGCTTTTTAAGATTTATCACTGTAGGTTTTATCAATTTGTTATGACAGGAAAAGAAAAGATGATTTAGAAAGCCAGCCAACGAGTGAAACAAAGCTATAGCTGTGGTTAGACATGACATAACCAAATGCTAAGGGCAGTACAAATGATTGCTTCTAACATTCGTAAGGTGGGATTGATTTTGAAGGCTACATCCCGTATTATCATTTCAGCACTTGCAAAGCCATGAGACACTGTAAGCAAATAAAGCAAAGCAGCAACCGCCAGGCACGTGGATCTGCAACAGCCACAACTGTGAAAAAATGGTGCTGGGGTCAGACTGGGTACCACAGGGATTTTGGCAGCACTGATGGCAGCACGGTCCCAGAGCTTCTCAGAACAAAACACAATCAATACACAAATCCAGAGAGAATCAGCGAATCACAAAAAACGGTCTTTTTTGCTAGTTTTAATGAGCAAAACGCTGGCTGCACAAGGTAGAAATGCTGACAGTGCCTTTTCACAGTGGTGATGCATGTCACATTCCTCTGAAAACAAGAAGAGAGCCAAAATAATGAGAAAAGAATCTGTTCCAAAGGAGGACAGCCTTCCTTGCAGTCCTACAGGTAAGACCTTTTGACTTAAAGCAATTTAAAAAAAAAAAAAAAAAAAAGCAACCAATAAACCACAAAAATCAAATTAATACATTTCTAAGCACGTATCAGGAACATTCAAGCATCTGTTCACATTCTACCCAATGTGGCTTCTTGCTTCCCACATTTAAGAACTTACAAGACCTTAATTTGGGATTTTTTTCCCCCTTCCTTTGTGCTTGTTTCCCAGTTCACACACACACTTCGGTGTGCACGCACTTCGATTCCGCAACAATGCTAACCATATGCCCAAAGCTAAGCACACATTACCTTCTCGGAGGCAGCTGGAAACAGAAACGCACACGCGGCACAGCCAAGCATATGCTCCACCGAAACCCCAAATGGAGCCCGGGTGCTAAAAGAGCTTCAATAATTAACGTCTGAAACCGCTCCGGGATCCTCCGACGAAAGGCAATACGTTAAGGCAAACGTTAGCCTGCTCCTAACTCGAGCCCTGAAGGCTTCAGAACGCATCTACAAACGCGGTGACCGCAGCTCCGCGCGCGGATACGGCGGCGGCCGGCGGTGATTCGGCGGCCCGGCGCCCGCCGAAGACGACACCCCGCGAACGGCACCTCGCGGGGCGCGCCGCGCGCCTCCCTTCCCTCACCTCCCCTCCCTTCCCGCCTCGGGGCAGCCGCGCTATCAAAGATGGATCCCGCTCCGCTCGGCTCCTCTCTCGCAGCCTCCGCGCAGGTACGGCACAGCCGCACCAACACGGTTCTGCTCCGCCCGACCCTGCGCCACAGCCGCTTATCTCCCCCGCCCCATTCTAATGCTTCGCGCAAACGGGGCTCCTCGGGGTCGCGCTCTCCGCGGAGGAAGAGGAGAATTCTCCTCAGGGAAGGCGGGAAGCGACGGCAGGTCAGGGGCCGTTACCTGAGGCCGCCGAGGCGGGGGCTCCCCCCGGTAGCGCCGCTCGCTCCGGCTGCGGGCGGGTGGCGGCGGCCGCCGTCGGCCGTCCCCTCAGCAGCAACAGCAGCGCCAGGAGCAGAGAGGAAAGCGGCCCGCGGGTCCCCGGCATGGCGGGCAGCCCGCGGGCAGCGGAGGAGCATCGCGGGCGAACACCGCACCGGGAGCTCCGGCCCAAGCGGCCGCTGAGCCCGCCCCTCCGCTACGTGCCGGGGCGGGGCCGCACGGAGGGGCGGTGCTGGGGCTGCGGCGTTCTGTTCGCGCGCCTCCGCGGATGGTGACCCAGCCGTATCCCAGGCATCGCCGCTCTTTCAGATGAGTTTTTCCTTACACCCGAGCCCAGCCTCCCTCGGCACAGCCTGTCCTGTCGCTGGTGCCCGGGAGCAGAGCCCGCAGTGACAATGAGGTGAAACGGCTCTGGCAGCAGCGCCGGGGCCTCACCGCCCTCGGACTGAACGGTGTCCATCATCTGCTGGGCTAAGTGCTGAAAGCGTGTGGGGACTGCCTCGCTGAGCATTTCATGACGGCACCGACGCGGCCGTGCCTTGATTTCAGAGAGGCAGGTGCTGAAGCTTTTCCATGTGTTGCTTCAATAGTAAACGAGTTTCTTCAGAAGGTACAAAGCTGCTTTGAAATTTATTTCCCTTAAATTAAATAGTAGCCAAATAATGATCTTTATTTTAAACATAGTGAGAAGCCAGGCCAAACAGTGGTGTTCAGACCTCAGATTTCTTCTACGTAGTAGAAAAAGAATGCAACAAAATACAAACTGTGGAAGAATATTTATTTTCTCCACTGGTTACAAGTGTATTTTCTGGGGATTTTTTAACAAATCTAATAAAAATTAATATATTTTTTCTTATGTCATTCGGTACAACATGGTTGCTTAATTGACATTAACAATGACTTCATAGAGATTTGGGGCTGTCACTGAAAATGTAATTTTGTTACAGTTGCTGAGTTTGCTGAAAAATATGAATTCAGCCATCTTGCCTTAAGGAAAAACTGTGCTGCAGTGGGAAACTTATGGCTGCCTCAACAGGTAAGATCCACTATTTTTCTTTACAATAGTTTGAGTATATTGGGTCTCCCTCTTCTTCATCAACACCAAAAAATACATGCTATGGAAAGTATTTCTTCTGAAGGGATCTTCATTTGAACTAAGCAAAAGGGCACAGAACGCAACCATCATTTGGAGGTTTGGAGCTCTCCTCTAGCAGCTTACAAAGTGAAGAGATTCTTGTTTGCTCAGTGCCCATGCACCCAGGTAACATCTTGTTAACTAGCTTCCTATTCAACCTTTAACATGGGCAAAGTGAGAGGGCCTGCTTCCATGCCGTTGTTGAGAGAGAGGAAAGGGATCCACAGAAAGCTAATTAAATGCTGTAAGCAATTTGTTACCTTTGTTAATCAATGTCTGATGAAGGGTGTGTGGTATTGGGTGAGCATGGATCAAGTAGATTTTCATTTCTAAATATTTGGGCTCTCAGAAAAAGAAAAGATAGACCAAGTTTTGTTGAAGATGGGTGGTCTAACCCATTTGCAGCTGCAGCTTTTTAAATTAACATTGATGGTCTGAATATGCATAATTAATCTTTATGAAGTTTGAAATAAATCCATTAAGCACATGTTAAGAGATAATATTATTGCAAACAGTTCACAAAAGGAAGTATTATATGGAAATTTGGTGCTGGTATTGCATTTAGATAAACTTCTAAAAAGGCACTGGCACACCCTAGAAAGTACAAACAACATGAAGTTCAGAAAATAAGAAAAATCACAATCAGGTTTAAAGTTTCTTAGCCAAATTTTTTTCTTAAAAAAGGTTGTTATCTGATAGTAAGTAATTTATTTCACCTTCCTGAGTATTTATTTGAGGTAATACATCCTGCAGAAACTTCTGCAGTCTCCAAAGGTTGGCCTTATACTTATCAAAATTTGAGTAGATTACAAAATATCTGCACATCATTAACCACTGCAGGGATGCAACATGGCATCTGGTAATATTTTGTCAGAGACTGAAGAGCCTGTACAAAGGAACACAAAATGTAAATGCAGATATCTAATAGAAGTAACAAATAGACATGATCTGTATGTGAAGTTGTAAAGACAAGGTAGGTATTTTTAGCTTCAAAGGTCTGTTACACATTTGGGCCCTACAAGGTTGGTCTTGGCAAGTCCTACACACCTGTGAAAGGAGGTAGTGGCTCAGCACCCAACGTGCAAAAGGTTTATCTGAAAGATGCAATAAAAGCTTGTTTCTGGAATACCCTGTGTGTGTGACTATAGACTTCTAACAGCACTAATCCTATCTCTTTGTGAGAGGTTTACACAAAAACTCAAAAAAAAAAAGTCTCATTTATCACCACAGTCTTGAATTACCTGAACAGGTAATTTTAAAATGCATTTATATATGCTTATATTTATTAATATACCAATACCTTAGAAACCCAGAGTATGTGAAGCAATATAACGGAGTTGGAGATAGTAGAGTTCCATTGGTGTAAATAACCTCAAAACAGGGACCATCATTTTCTTTGAAGTATAAGATGGAAAAACATTGAACAAACACTCTGTCCTCATGTTGCTGTATGATACAGCTCTTGTCATTAATTTCTTAATCATGCATTGTTTTGGAACTGTTATAGAGATATAGCAATCTGTATAGCAGATATATATAATCTGTATATCTATCTGTGCTGATAACTGAAGCTATCCAAAACAAGGCCTGCATTGGCTGCACCTTGTACTGATACAACACTCAGAAGCATGTTTTGGTTGCTGTAATAGGTGCTTTGTACATGCTTAAACTGTAGCTATTGTAGAGGCACAGAATGCTGTTAAAACATAACTAACAGTTTTTCATTATTTCTGTGTCTTTTTGTCATTGTCTTTAAGCCAACAATTTCTCTACTAACAATCCAGGTAACCCAGTTTTGGAGTTTTTCCTCAAGTGTTCACAAATGTCAACATTTAGTTCTAAAAAAAGCAAATGTGCAATCAATGGAAAGTAAAAGCGTATACCTTTATTGTGACACAAAGTGTTTACTCACAAGGATGATTGTTATTTAGACTGTAATCCTAACATAAAGTTAGGCTAAGAACACAACGACAACAACCAAAAACAATACTTCTGAGACTTCTCCTGGGCAAAGAATGAGAACTGAACATTTTCTACAATGATGCAACAGCTACAGAATCCGAATTACTTTTGGTACACAGAAATTTCTGTAAGAAAATTGGTTTGGTTTTTTTTTTTTGTGACGAGAAAATTCTTTCTGACCACATCCTCATTTTTGCTTGTGGCTATGAATTCTTTTGGCTTGAGATTAACCTACGCTGTTTTACCTGAAAGTGTAGAAGTTATGAAAATATGACCTTTTCACGGTTAGTACATCATGGTGATTGTAAACATATACAATGCAATACTTGAAGGTAAATTAGATACATATTTTTAAAATCTAGGAAAGAAAAATGAAGGAAGCCATAATAGTTAAGAGGTATTTTATTCCAAAATTCTTAACATCAAAATCAACTCAAAATACATTTTTTCAAACAGGTTATCCAACAATATTTTGGAATTGCATACACATATAGAAAAATACAACCTAATAAAATCAATTTTCAATTAAGATGAAAAGAATGCATTGAAAAGTAAACCATAGCTTAATAGCTATTTTTGATATCAGTACAAAATTACTGTGCTATAATATCCACTTTTTTTTTTTCAAGGTTTATAATTTAATAAAAATAAGGTGACTTCAAATGTATATTGCTCTCTTTAAATGTACCGAAGACCTTGGAAACAAGTTCATAGTTACTGAAAATATTCCCATTCATTACAAATATTTACTACATAACTAAGAAACCCAAAATGCAGCAGTCTCATTAGTATGTTAATTTTCTGCCTGTGCAAACTATGCTATAATGATTTAATGCACGAGCAAAAAATCAATGAAAAAATCCTATTACCAAGAAATACAACCTTACATTTTCAACATATTTATATCATAGCACATACCAGTTGCCTTCCTGGACTAGAAAGGGCCACCTAAACCTGAAAACATCTTTTGAAGATGCTTTTGAAGATTTTGAAATGCTACATCAATTCTTCATTTTCTTTACAAAAGCCAAAGGTCAAGTTATTCAATCTTAATGAAGCATATCTGGAGAGGTCACTGCATGTAATGCTAAGTTCCTTGGGTTATTATTGAAAACTTTTACATAATGAAAAAAAAAGACCAACGTTCTATGAAACAGCAGTAGCACTACAGACTCAAACCCATTATTGTACAGACTCTAGACACGTTTTCAAGAGTGGACTTAAAGAATATTGTACCAATTCTCAATAATTCAACATTTAGTAATGGATATAGGTTAGAATATACATCTTGTTTCACCCAATGTGGGTGGATCAACATCTTGCTACACCGTTCATTTATCATTTCATTTCATCACACTAGTTTTATTAAAGTTTTGAAAAATATCGACCGCTGCAAGTCAACAAATGCTACATCCCTTCCTAGACAAACAAAACCAGACATCTTGGCAGTGAACTAGTTCTGATCATGGTATATTGCACTTGGGAATGAGAAGCTAGAGATTCTGTACCAAAGAGCTCAGATCCCACTCCCACCTGTGAGAATCAGTAGAGCTTAGCATGGAATCATGCTCCAATGTATGCCATTTGTTTGTGATTGAAGGCCACAGCCACTACTTATGGGTTCATCCCATCACTCAAGTGAGCAAACAAAGAACTGTACCTTTACCGTAATGCTCGTCTGTGGTCTGCCAACTACTTTTTATACTGGACTTCCATTTTCATTTCATGAACTCCTTTGTTTTGTCTTCCTCATTAACATTGACTGTGAAGAGTATAATTGAAAGGCAACTGCAGTGAATGTCAGGTTTCCTGTCATTTCACTGGACTGTAGCTTGATATAGACCAAAGAAAAAAAAACTAACTGGATTTTCAGCAGTGTAATGTTGCTCCATTGCTGACTATTTGGGATGGTATGGGATAAATACTTCAGGACCTAGGGATAACCATCAGTAGAGCTCAGTGTTACAGAAAATTGAAGTGCAACATAAATCCTTTGAAGGACCAAGAACATGCTGATTACAGCTAGAATATTTTCTACATACTCATGAGAGTTTAGCTAAATAGCTGTTTAACCATAGACACAAATTGAGAAACATAAAAACATTGAAGCCTTTGCTTGGAATAAACTTTTTTTTTTTTTTTTAAGAAAGTACATAAATAATAAACTTTCTTAAGAGTTTCATAAGCATTATATGAATCTAAGATCCACTTGTCAATCACAATTTAGAACAGTGGGACAAGTAAAATGATAAACTTGGTACTAACCCCATCAACATCTCTCAAATATTTCCATTTATGTTAATAAATGTCTGACTTTGCAGTCATGGTTAGACAAAAGCTATCTCAATTTGGTAGTGTTTCTCGGGAGAAAGAACCTTTCAGTTAGATCCTCCACTTCACATTTTCTAAATATTGCCAGGTATTATACCAGACAATATGCATTTTTAAATGTAAATCACTCTCTATTATGCATCATGAGATGCTGCAATAATTGTAAATTGGAGCAGTTACAGAATTTCATTTTTCACTGTAAAAGATATAGCACTTGATAATGTTTCCATTGGCTAAAGAATTATGTAATTCCTGATACTGTATACATGAACATTTTACTTCTGAAATATAACTCTCTGAGAAGAAGGCTAAGACAATTATTTGATACTCTATTTTTAGTGGCTTCATCTTAATGCTTGCAGTATACATCTTATTTGCATTAGTTTCAACTCCAAGGCATTCATTTCATTCCAAAATACATTTTTGAAGTTTATTTAAAAGTTTTAACGTCTCTCTAAAATATGTGCTATAAGAATACATCAATGCTTGTATGCCACTATAAAATTTATAGTGACACAAGTGCATGTGTTTTCTTTAACCATACTATCAAGTTTAAAATGCAAAATCAAAGACTGCCTGTACATCCCTTCAGAAAAGTGGTCTCTTCAGAACCCTCCTGAAAGAATAACATGACTTGAAAGTGAATTTGGGATGTTATATCTATTGACATTCTCCGTATGCTCCATTTATGTATGCTACTTTTCTTTCTTTAACCAATCAAAGTGGAAATTAATGGATATGGGAGAAGTAACTACTTGCATTTATTCTCAAATAGAACGTTGGAAAATAAAAATTGTTTAAATAAGTGTTTATGTAACTTAAATAAATGGAAGAAGCTCTCCATAGCTACAGTACATGTATCAACAAAATGTACCTCTTTATCTTGAAGAACAGCAAAATGATTTTCCAGTTGCCACAGTAAAATTAAGACATAGTTAGCAATGACATTAACAGGGCTACAAAAACCCTTTCACGTCAGCTGAAGAGATCTCAACCATGTTTTGTTGAGCTGTTTTTCTTTTCTCCTCATCTCCTTATAGTGCCTAGACACGCGAGTAGTCTAAATAATTTCAAGTCAACCCGATATGTACATGTAAGGAAGAAACACACAAGAATTAGAGCTATGGATCTGTCTGGCAGTCCCTTAAACCTCTTAACCTAACCTTAAGACTGGGAAAAACAACCTTCTTGCACATAGATAATTAATTGACGAGGTGTGAGAAATAGAAGCCTGCGTAAGTAACTACAGTTGTGTTTTATGGAAGTCACATTTTGAAGCCAGGATCAAAGCCTGACTCCCAATTCCTTACTGTATTACTAGTAACATTACTAGAAGCAAATGGAAAAGTATGACCTTGCTCACGATAAAGACCTGGGAAATTCAGGGAAAACAGAATTTTGCCCTATATTCTCTCAAATAAACTAATTAGATCTGAGCAACTTGTTTAAAATAGAAATGTGTGCATGGATAATATACAAACCAAGATGTGATATACAAACTGGCCCTCACAGCCTTTTTGCTGTCTCCCTTAACTCAAATGCCTTCATGGTCTAGTGAGTAAAAATGGACTTAACAACAAAAGCTATTTGTGGATTTTATAGCTCAGAAAGGAGGAAGAAATAAGAGTCAAATCATATTGTTCATTTTAGGTAATTCTGGGTTCACTGGACATTGCAACATTTATGGGAGAGATGCAGATGTGAATGAAAACCACAAATTACAAAATGGGTTTTTGTCCCTCTAAGAACTTTTTTTTTTTTTTAAACAAAAATCACATTAATTAGAGAAGGAATGCTTCTTTCTATGTGGCTGAATTCTTTTTCAAAATAGAGAATAAACAAATCTCATATAAGGCATCTTTCTACCAGTTTAGGTATGTTCACTCTAAGATTTGTGCTACACACCTACATATGCAAGCCAAATACCTGCTTGATTTGCACTTACTTACTAAAATGCATACACACTTTTTATGTGCTCTTGTAAGTATATGAGGCTTCACTTTACTAGACCAGTAATGAGAGAATTAAGCTAAGAATAACTAAAACCAGTGGCTCGAGCCCACTCACATTATTGTATGTATATAAACCAGCAGTGATATGAAACAGTCTCTCTTCTGGCAATGAAATGTACTGAACATAATTAAACATCTTTTGTGCAATCAAATATACAATGAATGAATGAATTGGAGCAAGCCAACTCGACCTCCTCTTTTAAAACCCTTTCATTTTGCCTGCTATACTCTGCTTCATTTGACAATCTCACTACTCTCTTAGGGTAGGTGGAAATGAGGCTAATGTACTGATGTAATCGAGACACAGGTGGCTGGCACACAGCATAGTTAAAACCATCCCTATTATCACTATTATCCCGCACTTGGATGTAGTCAACTATGCAATGTGAGAATTATTAACATCTTCTCCTAGGCGCATCAGGTAAACTGTCACTCAGGTAACCAATGGCTTTGCCAGAAACTGTAATCAGGCCAGCCCAAGTAATATACAGACTCAGACTCCAAACCCTGTGGGGGTTTCATCTTTGGAGAAAGGTTTTCTCATCAGATGTGTCTGTGGGCAGCCATGGTCCAAAGGCTTGTCCCTGGTCATTCCTAAAAGGCACCATGCTGCCAAGACAGAGTGGGACATGTGAATCTTGCTGCATGAAACACATAGTACAGTTTTTGGATCTTGCCCTGAATATTTTTGCTAGGTCCCATATAGAAAGTACATAATCTCCAGCCCTCTACCCCTCCTGTGGTGTAGGTTCAACCCCTTTTGTAGGGGACCTTGGGCCTGGAGGACAGTATCTGTAGCATCTAGAGGGAAAGCTCTAGACGAATCTCTAGACAGGAGAGCAGATGAGAGTGCACAACAGGCATCACATCTGGGATTCCACTGAATAATCTTTCTTGTATTTTTTGAGCAAGAGGAAAATCCCCGGCACAGTTAATGAGTCAAGGAGGTTTTTTTTGTTTTGTTTTGTTTTTTGTTTTTGTTGGTTGGTTTTTTTTGTTTGTTTGTTTTACAAAATTCAACAAGCCGTGGTCATTTTTGTGCAACTAGCTTTCAAGAGGTGGGAAATAAACTGTAGTGTACAGAAAAAAGTAACTGTTGAAACAATATGTAATCGTTCAAGTATCTATGGAAGCTGTTAGCTTCAGCCTAATAAAAGGAGTCTGTGTAGTAGTTCATATAAAGTCGGTCTCTTAAAAACATGTCTCCTGCATCCCAATAAACAAACTCACAGCACTACGTTTTACTTAACAGTTTTCACAGGCAAATCAGTGCAGACGTGTTAGTCACATGTATGGACGTGATTAATACAAAAAGGAGGATTTAAATATATTGCTCTCATTATGTGTGTGCTGATATCTTCTGACACCATAATCCTTGCAGTCATGAGTGTTTTTTTTTTTTCCTTACGGGGGAAACCTGTATTTGTAACTAAGATGTAGGCATTTTAAGGTTTTAGAATGTCTTACAGATAAAACTCTGCTTAAGCTTCTGATGTTCCTTCCCCATTCTCGTGTGGTTGCAGCTGTTCTCTTTCTTGTTCTTCTTGAGGCGGTCTCACACGTTTGAAAAAGCCCATCTGTAATTCAGAAAACAGAGAAATTGAACCTTGTTATTTTCAAACATACACACCTTTTTCTTCATGCATCTTAAACAGATTTTATCTTATCAGTTACTGATTCTTTTTTCCTGCCACTCACTTCCATTTGATTTTTTGACCTCTAAGGCCAATAAATACTGGATACACAGATTAAACTGATTATTTCAGCACAATCACAGACGTTCTCTTTTTATTATTGAACTTCTCCCTGACAAAGCAGAAAAGTTTTTATGGCTAACTAAAAAAGTTAACACATTCAGGTCACCAGGAAAACAAATTATTTCTGCAAGCTGCTGCTACTATTTGAAGCAATACACCACTGGTACTGAAATCAACCCCTAAGTAAACAATACTGTACTTACCCTGTACATAACGAGCACTAGAACAGCCAAGAGCAATAATCCTGCTAGGACAGCTAAAATTATAACCCACACTGGCACAGGCATAGGCTGTGGTTGAATGCCCCATGTAATATTTGTAGTAACCTAAAAGAAAAACACAATAAAAACACATTTTGCACAGCAGTTGAATTGTGAATTCATTCATGCATTTTAAGTACTGCTTATTTGGTTTCTATTGTAATTAAAATAATCTCAATCCAGCACAAATTAACTTTTCACTCCAGTGTGAGTAAGCAGCCATAGAGTAGTGACAAAAAGGCTTCAGTGACCCAAATTTAATAGGATTTTCACAAGTTGTTTGTGAGGTTTTTTTTCCCCTTCAGTCCGTGATACCATGGCAACCTGTACTGAGAATCACCAAGCATTATAGAACACAACTGCAGGGTTTTGGAAATGTTTTGAAAATTAGAGAAAAATTCTTCACTGCTTTTCTTTTTTTCCCCTAAAAAGGGGAAATTCCCTTAAAATTCCTTGGCAGGAGGGATTCAACTCCTGAAGTTCTAAGAGCTAAAAAGCAGTTAATAATAGTCATTGGCAACTATACTCTAAAATAAGCCAAGGTCCTTTTTCAGCTCTTTTGCACTATAATGCACTGTAATGCCAACCAAAAACTTATTCTGGCAGCTAAATAGAGCGACCCATATCTTTCTTCCTGTTTGCACCTTGTCTCCTTTCTCTTTAGACCTCTCTAAAGCACAGATGGTCTTCAGTCTCACACATTATAATATAATCAAGGCCCAATACTTAGACTTGTAAGTGCTACTACAGAAAAGCACAATTTTCAAAATCAAATATTTCTGTAGCAAAATTGCTGTTAAGAAGAATACTTAGAACTCTTCACCATGACTTCCTTTTCTCATTTTTCAGTTAATTCTTTAAAGCTACAAATAGTTTTAACTCTAATTTTAGCACAAAATATTCCCATTATTCTCAACTGTGTGTAAATGAAATTAATGTATGAATCAAATATTTGATACAATTAGAATTAAACGAAGCCACATACAGCTATTGAACAATCATTCTTTTTGTACCATTCACAAAATTATTTATTTATTTATTTTTAGATCCAACTCAGGGTGGATGTACATGACTTACCACTGTGGAATTGTGAATATCTTCAAAAGAAAGGTTCTTGTAAGGGAACTCTATAACATTGAACGAAGCAGATGATTTAAGGGAATAGGAGTGATTCTGATTTTCTTTCTATATAAGAAAAACGAAATTAGTACTGTGTATGTATATAAAATCACTTATTGTGTTTCAGAAGAGGGATCATATTGTATCCATTTACTTACGTTCATGAAAGTTTGGGTCCAAAGTCGTGATTTTAAATACAGTATTGCACTCTTCCCCCTTTCCAGGTGGCCAACTTGGCAGACTATCTTTAAACAATCAGCATTTCCACAGCCCTGTGCATGGAAAATAGAAATGATATGAGAAAGATGAAAGCATTTGAATATTTGTTAACGCCATTATTTATATAGGTACTCATTCTATTTGCTAGGCAATGCACCGTTAGCTGTTTAAGTACATTAAATGAAGATCAATTTTAAATGACTACTGACAGTGTTCAGTAAGTTCACATTCAGACAAATGCTACTCGAGCCAGTTCTACAGTTTTGGATCCCAAAGCTGAAACTTCTGTCAGTATGTATGAAAAAATTTCTGCAGGCTGAAGGGCATTTCTGATCAATTTACATTACCATCCTCCACATTTGTTTCACTAGGAAAACTCAGGTCTAAGTAACTGCAACTAGTAAAACTACACTTTGCTCTTCAGTGTGGTCTGACTCACTGACCTAAACTGTAAGCTACTCCTTGCAGCGAAGGCAATGGGTACAGCACTCGTCTGCTTCTGTTTTACCTGCATTGCATGTCTTCCTCCTATTAAATTCAAGAAATAGCACAATACAGAAGTAAGGCACTGAATGTCTAGAGTTCTGTTTTTGAAGGCATAAAACTTACAACAAATCCACAGCCACACACATCATTGGATGGCTACAATGGGAATAATGCACACATTGGGGAAAAATAAGAACAAACAAAACCCATCACACAGCTCCAGAGAATGAGATTCTTCGTCTGTTATCCTTTAAAACACAGAATGAACCCTAGCATGTTTTCTGAAGCAATGCTTTGTCACCAGAGCTTTCATCTCTCCATTACAAGCCAACATACTGTGGATACATTGACGTTAAAAGCTTACCAAGGTTTGCACGTCTCCTTCAATGGCAGTTAAATCTCTCCGACTGATACGATGATTGCGATTATCTTCCCTGCTAAACGTTTCATTCTTTTCATCCTCTTTAGAAGCAGAAATCTGGATAAACCAAGGAAGCCCAAACAATAATTCTTACCTTTAGATAATCAACAACTTGAACATTCAGTTAAAACTTCAAGAAAATAATACAACTCCTCTTTCTGTCTTAGTGAAGCTTTGCTTTCCGCTATAGCTGTTATCAAAGCATTACTCATGCCATTTCTTGACCACTGCTAAATTTTTAAGATCTAACAAAAAGCCTTGAATAACTTAATTCTTCAACTCAAAACATTTTTAAGTGCACAATGAACATAAAAATACTTAGATGGCAATGGAAATCTGATTTTGTCATGTTCTATTAAGTATTTTTCCTCGTCATTTCAGATTTCTTAGTTCTGAAAAAAATAGCACTAGTATTGTATTGATGTACCTTATCACTGTCCGTGTGTACACAGACACATAACAGAGACCTGAAAAAATGTAGAATAAGTTAATTCCAACCTGGGAAAATGGAGTTTCTTCCCTGTTCTGTTCTTTACAAGCTACTTGTTTCAATAGGGCTTAAGTCAATATTATTTTCTCCAGCAAAACACACCTATTGACCAAGGTGGGATCTTTGGAAGTGGCTAAGCAACAGAAAAGCTACTAACATTAAAAATAAAGCAATTTTGTCAAGAAACAAAACCTAGAAAATTAACATGAATAGCCCTGAATTACTTGGAATATTTTTAAAGCTACATACAACAGACTTCAGTTGCTTTGGACTTTGTTCAGATAGCATGGCTTTCAAGAAAAAAGCAAAAGGAAATCTGACACGAATTTGTGTTCAGTTTGGCAATCTGTTATCTACCTTTTATTTTTATTTCACCTGCCATGTACATTAACAAGTACAATCAAACACTGTGGTCTTGCTCCTTAACAATAGAGGAACACTCAACTCAGTGTGTTAGGTATTTTGATTCAGGTCTTTTTAATGTCTTTGCAAATAAACAAACATATTTCATTTCACTCAAACAAAAAGGAAAGTACCATATACCTTAATTTTCAATGGATTGATCTCCATATCAGAAGTGCAGTTCATGGGACCATCGATGTCATACTGAACAATATACAACAGCGTATAGTTTTTGTATTTGTAAGGCCACTGCAGAGTCATCATCACCTTGCTGAAAGCACTTGGGCCATTGTTTCTCAGCTGATTATGGAAATAAACATTACAGATGTAAAAAAAAAAAAAACATATATATATATATATATATAAAACACGTGTAGTTTATATATAATACATATAGTACATGTATATGTGTGTATATATATACACAAGTATACACACACACAGTGGTTAGTTTTTATTTCAGCCACAAATGATACTTACATGAAGGTCGCTACCCCCAGCAACTTAGAGCAATAACATCAACAACTTTACCTAAAAATGGTAACTGAACTACAGTCCCACAGCAGTCAAAACTTGAAATTACTTCTGTAATATGATGGAGAAAAAAAAACTTCCAAGGAAAGCTTTTTAGCATTAATTTTTCCGCCTTGAAGCAATGTAGTTTTTGTAGTGTCATCATGAATCACTGCCTCTGTACGTGTCTCAGCCAAGACACCCTGAGCACAAATAACATACACCTCTAAGTTTCTTTAGATAAATGGTCTCTTATAAGTTCGAAAACTTTCACTATTCCTATTCACACAGCTCTCTCAGTTTTGTTTGATTCAACTGTCTAGACTTAAGCTGTGATCATTTAAGGAAGTTTTTAATACTTAAAATTGTTCAAGACTTTTTCAATAATGATTCAGAACAGTTGGAATACTAATGAGAATACTAAATAATTTACAGCTATGAATTATTTTCTGAGTTCAAAGTACTTCAAATATTTTATCTAGATTTCAAAGTGCTAGAAGAATCTTACAGACAATAAAAGATGTGTAATGAAGTTATTAAAAAAAATTATTCTCTTGTATTTGGCCACTTCTGTTACAGTAATTGCATGCATTCAAACCCTGCTTGCAGATACTACTTACTAGCCCAGTAAAATTAAGTTTTTGTTTCTACAGAAGAAAAAAGTAAAAGAAGATCATCTGCTTCAGCAGAAAGCTACACTGAAGATATCTTTATTCTCCTTTATCACAGAACAGTGTAATTGAAATTAGTAGTAACTGCATACCTCATAGATATGCTGAACTAGAGGCCCTATATCATCTTCTGTTTCTGGATTCTCCTTGGGCTGCCAGTTTGCAATAGGAAGGAATATGTGATCAGGAGATGACACGCTAAACAGTGGAGCAAACGATTAGTTATTATCGGTTATGAAACATAAAATGCAGTTCTCTAGAACATCTCAAAGAAAGCAACTTGCCTAAAATACCATGTACAATTTTTTCAGCCACTATGTTTAAAAACTACATTGCCTTTCTACCAAATACTCAAAATAAGATTAGAAAATGAGTGTAGTAGAAATCAAATAATGTGACAAGTCAGGAATCTGAGTTAACTAACTAAGCAAAAGCATCTTATGGCTTTTAGTTATGGACTATATGTTCACCAAGTATAAGAATTAAGGTTAAATGGAGTCATGATAATATTAATACCATGCTTAATATTGAAGATGGTGAAGCCACTGCAAGTTTATCTTTAGAAAGACTTTGAAATTTAGAAGAGGTTTGCGGAGGAGGAAAGCAATCTGGAGAAAAGCGTGCAACTATGAAAATGAGGGATGTGTTCCCTCCAGCACACCCCTTGCCTCCCAGAAATAACAGAAGCATAACAATCATCCATTTTTTCAATTAGGTTTGCAATTTGTCAGAATTATTTAAGATTGGCAAGTCCGAATTGTGGCTGGAGAATTACACGTTCTTTATGATTAAAAGCTCCTTATGATTTCATGAAAAATAACACAGAGACACCTGAAAAAAAAGATTATTGAATTATAAAGAAACAAACACAATGCTCGCTTGAGGGGAAAAAAAGAGTATTAAAATAGTATCAAGCCTTACCCTCTAATTTCAACAGCTGCTGAAATGGCAAGGTCAACCTGATAGAATGCTACAGGACTTAGATTGTCAAACAGGTTGGAACTGCAAAGAAAAACAAAGTGAATTTGTTAAATAAAATAAGTATTAAAAACAAATATACAAATGAAAAAGCCTTGAAGTGATTGGATGTAACAGAACAGAACATGACACCTGAGCTACTGTAGAAGAGCAGATACATTAAACTAAAAGAGCAGACAACCAGATGGACCTCGAATTGGCATGGTAGATAGCTGGCAGCAAGATTATCTCCAAGCTACTAACACTTTTCCACTATGCAATGTTCTTCCAAAGCTAGGAGCAAGAGAAGAGAAGGGAATAGTATTTGTACAATGACATTAAGACTAAAAGAGACAATGTATAAAAAAAAAAAAAAAAAAACCAAAACAAACAAAAAAAAACCACCGTTGTCAGCTAAAATAATCAAGTATGCCCTTGCGTCTCAGGATGCTGACTAGAGTAACCTGACGAAAAAAATTCAGGTTTTAAAGAAAGTAGAGAGAAAGAGAAAATTGAATAAACAGCAATGTGAGATCAAAGAGATGTTTAATGCTGCCACAAACTTTGACCGGTATGGCCAACCACTGTATCATTAGAACAGAATTCCAGGCTTAAAGCTACTTAACTCCTGTAATTGAAAAATGAATGTATATGATAATTATTTATTTACTGCATCAGAAAAAATGAAACCCTTTATTGAAAGAGGGGAAAAAAAGGGGGTTGCTCCACTATAAAGAAAAACAAACACTACACATTTGTGTTGTCGGTTAAGCAACAGAAAACTGAGTATAAAGATTGCCATTGATCACATCTCCAAATACTGAATATTATCAGTAGATATAAATTCATATTTATATGTCACATATTCAAGTGCTGTGCCTATCTTATGATTAACAAAACCGCTAAATACTTCGTTCAGTTTAATTTTTAGACTCTTTTACACTGGCTACTGTACAGCACATAAAATGGTTCACTGCATATTGCATCTGTTTAGACCACGGCGCATGTCGCCTCTTCAAGAAGGCTTACTTCTCTCATTCTTGAAATACATAAAATTTGAAATTCCAATATTAGATCAAACACTAGTTTTAAAACAGGTCTAGAAACTCAAAGACAAAAGTTAAACTGCGACGCTACAGTAGTGTCAGGAGATTACAGCAAGCACAACAATACAGTTTGTCTTGAAACACTTCAAATTACTAAAACAGCAATATTGAAACAGCCAATTGTGCCATGGCCTGTGTAAAAGTTGTAAGCAAAAAATACATTCAAATCGAACACTCAATCTTGCCTATATTTTAAAAAGCTTAATTCATAGAAGAAAGGGTATTTTTAAAAAATACTACCAAAGACCACACAACTATCCCAGCATGAAACCATAACTGCTCAGTTCACGACCTGTATACTCAGCACATTATCTACCAGGCAACATGCACATTCACAGATTTCCATACCTTCGTATTTGCAAGTCAAACTTTACAGAGGTATCCATTTCAGATTGCTGGTGCACACTGAAACGCAGGCCAGCTAATAGCTTAAAAAAACAAAAAACACCATGGTTTAGTGGAAGTAAAATAAAGTACCAAGTTTCTTAGTACTATTATACTACAATGAAATTGCTTGAGCATGGGGCCCATAAAAAGAACACAGTACAGAATTGGCAAATAAAATTTGTCTAGTTCATTATAGAAGTAAACATACTTCTCTCTCTATTGATCCACCAATGCCCTAAGACAGAAATATGTGGTGTATATCATGCTCACCACCTTGCTTGAGCTATTTTTACACGTAACTGAGTATCCGGAAGTGTTACAAAAATTGCTGTGGTCTGAAGAGCAGGGCAAAGTTTAACATGAAAATTCACAGTTCACAAGGTCAGTGCATAACAGTTGCTTCAATACTTGTGCAATTCAGGTTGGTTACACCCTGAAATACTTCGGAAATAGCATTTGTTAATCTGTACAAGATGCCTCTTGGAAGAAAACACTGTCAAAGCATTTATAATTGAAACTGATTTTCACTTTATTTCCTCAGAAAACTAGACCTCAAGTCATAATACCTTAACATCTGCCAGGTACCACTAATTGTTTTTGAATTCCTGCAGTTTTGGCTATGTTTGATTGAAGCGTAGAGTTTTCAGCTAGTCTAAATACTGGCTCAGACCTGACAAAACTAGACAGAGACAATATTCATTTTCCATAACAAAGAGAAAGGTATTTTATGAGCTAGCTGTTTATTACATACCAAAAAATTAGTATTCTATAAATCTAGAGATACGAGGGACATAAGGGACCAAAATGCATTAATTCCTCTGTTCACTGAACTACATATTTTGAGTTGCATCATGAAACTCATAAACACACATGCTCCTTTTAATTCAATTTACTTGAGAAACTGAAACCAATTTCCATTGAATTAACCAAATGTGGGTACCTAGATGTTTAGCTGAACCTCCTGTCAGTAAACACCCTGATCAAACACTACCTATGATTAAGAAAAGTCCCAGCTGTCCTCCTGCTGGAACTTCTAAACACCTGTTGGACCAAATCTCACCTTAGTTCCTGCTTTCATGGGATTTCCCAGGTCACAAACCACCATGCGAGTTTGATTCTCAGTTTTAAATGCACATGACAATCTTGCTAAAGCCTACAGTAAAATAAAAAAAGATTAAGGAACATCATTCTTTACACTTGACATCTCTTTAACAGGCCAGAGAAGAGTGCTAGATATGCTGCATTAATTTTAACATCATTTCTCAGTCGTAACATAATCAAGCACTATAAATTCAATGAAATCTGAATATTCAAGGAGACAAATGTTACTTAAGTGAGACAGATGCTCTTTCCAAGGTTATCACACGGGAAATTCAGTGCTCTTACATTGGACAGACCTGATTATTTCAGTGATCTAAAGCATTTTTCCACGTAATTCTTTACAACCTATGTGAATAAACTTTGGCAATCAGGGAAGTGTTAAAACTCTCAGCAGAAAATACAGATTGGAAAGCAAAATAACACAAATACTCACTGGCTTACTCAACAAGAGGTGTTAAAGGAGCTGCCAGATTTTTGATAGAATTAAATCTGAATGGCTACCATTTGTTTAAAGACTGATAGCAGATAAAATCTGTGTGTCAGACCCCATGACACAGACTTTCCTTTGTTGCTACCAGCAGACTCAAACTAGAAACATTTGCCAAGATGTCAGGTAAACACAGGGCTTGGAAGAATCCTAGAGCATTACTTTGGAGCTTTGCTTCAAGACTTCATCTTAAAAAGTATCACTGATGGACTCTCTCCTGCAGGCTTCAATAGCAACAATTACTCAAAGAAGAACAAGATTCACAATTTTACCTCATTATTTCGAACAACACCAATGAAATCTGCTTGGGGAGGAACAATGACAAAGAGCTCTGCTTCGTAGGCTCCTTCCCCTTGATTCTCTGCATTGACAGTCAGCGTTAAGGGATTGTCATCACCAATGTAGATCTTCTTCTGATCACTGAAGCAAAACAAGGGTAAAATAATCAACATGGAAACAAATTATGTAGCCCAACACTTGCTTTTTAACAGAGTAAACAATTAACAACTATGTCCCTGTGCACATTTGAGTTACATGCCTACTTTACAGAAGTACAAGCACACATTTATAACAAAAGTTAATGGAAGGAAGGCTCAACTACATAATACAGCCACACCTCTCTAAAACATTTGTTCCAAATACAAATACAATATCTTAAAAAAAACAAAACAAAAACAAAAACCAAGTATTTCTATTATTTTCATGTTACCAACCAAAAGTTAAGCTAAATATAGCTGCACTAATGTAAAAGGTTTCTGAAACATTTGCATGAATGAGCATACTCATACATACATGAGCAAACACTGTAGATATAACGGCATAAAATATGTTAACAGTTATGAGTAGAGGTAGTATATTCAGAATGGCTTTCAGGCCTACCAAGCAGAAGAAGCTCAGCCTCAGGACAACAACTGCAATAGAGAGCTTGTTCTTTTTTTCTTGAATATATAAAAGATACTGCCCATACTAACAAAAGACAAAAGAAGCTTTATCCACCCATGCTGAAGAAAAACATGCCTGTTCATATTTTCATGTTCCTGTCTAGTATTAAATAACCTAACACTAGTGTAGCTACGAGTAACACTACCGTTATATCCGGGTCAGCAAACATGGACATAAAAGGCTGTGTTCAATGATACTGGAGAGGGTGCATTGCTCTCCCTGTATTACATGCTAGTGACATTTGGTTACAAAGCAGAAAAAAAGGTTTTCCCAGCAACAAACAGGTCCTACTTATTTCAAGAGACTATTTTAACGGAAGTATTACAAGGCTCTTGAAGTCCAGAATTCAAGGTTAGAATTCAAATAGTGTTGTTCTCTTCTCATATGGCATTTTTGTCATATAATTACCTTCTTACTGAAACCTCCAGCTTTGGTTTGCAGATATTATCCTCACCACAATCCAACAGGATGTGTGCCTACGCAAAAATCAAAAGCATATTTATTTAATTATTTGTGCATAACATACCAGTTAGTCAAAGAACCTGCCACACTTTCCAGCTCCAGCACTAACACCTACATGACTTGGTCCTCTTTCATTTACTTTGAATCTATTTATCTTGAGTTTTTGCAATCAAGTTAAAACTTTCCTCTTTACAAACAAGAGTAGAAACCGTATACAAAAGAGCAGAAACATAAGAGATCTGTAAAGATAAATGGCTAAAACACATAAAGAAGCACAGCGTGAGGAATGGAAAAAACACTCCAATCCTTTAAGGGATTCAGTACTGTTATCTTCTTTTCTCCAGAAAAATGTTACACTGTACAGATGAATAAGAAATCCAGCGCTAAGGATTGAAATACTTTAAAGAAAAAGAAAAATGTCACAGAGGGAAGGAAAAAAAAGACACATAAGAAAAAAAGCATGCAAGTCCAATCTAAAGTTGCATAACTCAAAGGCTAAGGCCTAAATACATGTTTTTGTATCATAATTTTTGATAAGCGCTAAGATGAACATACGTTTTGAAAGCTGAAAATATATTCTTACAAAATCTGTGACGACAGAACATGGAACTGTACCTGTCTGCTCATATTAGCAGGAGTGAACTGATTGAGGATAGGATGCAATCCTGTTGCATCCGCAGCTGTTTTGTAATCAAGACGATATTCCATAAAAATTGTAATGGGAGTTAATTTGTCTCTAAATTCAGATTCATCCTAAGGAAACAAAAAAAATTGAATTACAATTAGAATGCGTAAAGAAAACAAAACCAAAGATCTTCTAGTTAACAGCCATCCCAACAGCAACACTGAGCAGTATTTTTATTTATTGATCAACTTGCAGTAGGAACTAGGAGGCCAAAACAGCATTCCAATATCTGAGCTCTTTCCAACTAAAACATGTCTTCTCAAAGAACCTGCATTGTATACTTCAATATATACAGTTTTGGTTTTAGCAAGTATGATTAACAAAACGTAAAAGGAGAGCATACAGAAAGATTAAGTCATAAAACTTAAGCAACGAGGAGTCTTCGAGCCTGAACAATTCTACTCCTTCCTATAACAAAAAAAAAAACCTGTATGTTTCTTAAATCCCTCATAGATGTTCATCTTCAAACTTCCCGAAAATATTCATTTACAATGGATTCATTCGTTTTCATACTATTCATTTCAAATCACTGTTGAGTTCATTACAGGACCTTACTTCAGAGGCTATCTTCTCTGGACAGAAATCTATTATTAACTCTTTTCCTGACAGTTTGCAACCATTTTTGTGTTCTATTTGCAGTCTTCTCATATAGATTGTAATTGTTAGTTTCCATCTAAGAATGTTTTACCAGCCAGAGTTTCTTCTCTTGGGTCAGACATTGTATTTGTGGACACCTGTCCACATTTGTAGAGACTGAAGCAAAAGTCTGATAAAAACCATATGGAACATTTCAGCTATTTCCATCTCCTCTAATTTGCTGATTTTCACTTTATGGTTGAAAAATCTGTATTTTTCTTTATTTCTCTTGCTTCCAAAGTAGAAGCACAACCTCTTCTTATTGACTTCCAAGTTACCTGTAAATTATAACTAATTTTATGTCTAGGTGACTTGTCCATGAAGTGCTTTAAAGAATTTGAATTGAATTTCCAGTCCATTTAGTGACCAGGATCTTAATCAAAATACTAATCCTCTTTGTCCTCTGGCAGCAACATTAACCCAGGAAAGATAGACCAGTTTAATAGTTCTAGGCTTATCCACTAGGCATGAAGTTTCTCCGGTAATGATTTTCCTAGAACATAAATAGATGCTCACCCTCAGAAAAGCATCAAGTTCTTCACAATTCATTTTGCCTCCCTTTGTAATAGTCATGTTCTTGGAATGGCTAGGCTGTTTGCTGTGGAGAAAGAGAGCTCGCCTTATAGCTCCTTTTTGCTTCAGTTTATCCAACAGCAGCTCCACTTGGAAATCTGTCCAATACAAAGCATTTGGATTAGGGACGTTTTATCCAATTAAACACAAAGCAGATCTGCATCAGAAGTGAGCTTAAAAGTTGATTTCACCTTTTAAATAATATATAACGCTATAAATATAATAATTAGTATTTAATACTTAGAAATTGTAAAACTTTTGTTTATTTAAATACAAAATCTGTTAATACATCATTCTCAGTACAGTAACTAAGAATAAATAAGAAGTGCCACGATTACCCAAAAATCGAGCTCCGCTCATTCTTTCAAAACAAAACCTGTATTACTGTTTGAGCAGTGATAAATTCATAAGTGCTTTGGAACTGCAAGAGAAATGCTTTTCCAGCCAGTAAATAGTACAGCAGCTTTGCACATAATATGTACATAATTGAACTGTGTTGCTAACTTAGCTACTTCAAATATTCAATACAGATAATGAAATATAAAATATTTATAGCAATTTTTATGAATCCTCCCAAATCATACCTCCTATATGCATGTCATACAGCAAATAAGGAAAAGCATTTCTAATTGCTAGTCACAACCGGGCTATAGCATGCCATCTGCCATACTATACAATCTCAGGAAAAACTTTAAAAGCTGTTTGAAGCAATCTTTTTCTGATTCTGATCTAGAAAATCTGATCAGAAAATCAGTGATATCAATCAGAATCTGAGGATTTCAACAAAAATGTGAGACGTGCTTTGTGTCTTGTCTATATTCTTAAGGCCTAATTAAGCGTGTGCTTGAATGTTCTTGTTTAAAGCTCTCCTCTACATAACATTTCATATCAGTTCCATAAAATAGAAAGAATTTCTCAAGACTAATTCCACAAAATGGTGAGACATGCTTCAAGTCCCAATCACTCTAAAAACCACACTGATTTCAACTGATACAAGGTAACAGAAAAAAAAGAAAAGAAAAATACAACACCAAACCCTACTGAAGAAAGTCTTGTAGATTTGTAGTTATTGAACTGGCAAAATTCTGCTATAAATAGTTATCATTTGTTTCAGAAATGAAAGAGTTACAACTAGTACCTGTGTCTGCAAACAGGCTAAATGAAGGCAGAACAAAAAAATGTAATAAAACTTACTGAGCGAATTAGGGAGTTTTCCTTTGCCATCTGCTTTTAAGCAGAATTTTACTTTGAAGCTGTTTTGGAAGAAAAGAAAGGATTAATTTCACACATTTTCCCCCATCTCATTTTCTTCTAAAACTCCTCACTGTTTTTCTCAGTTCAGAGGTCTTCTGTTGTGAGACTCTAACTCAATCCCAAGCCGTGATTTCTACTAGTGAAAAAAAATTGCAGCCTATTAATAAAACAGACAGCAAAGAAAGCAATGCAAAGCCTTGGGGTGCAAAAGGAGCATGGCCAGCAAGTCAAAGGGGCTGATCCTCTCCTTTTATTCTGCCCTGGTGTGGCCACATCTAGAGTACTATGTCCAGCTCTGCGCTCCCTGGTTCAAGAAAGAGAGGGATCTTCTAGAGAGAATCCAACAGAGGGCCACAAAGGTGATTAAGGGCCTGGAGTAACCCCCTTGCAAGGAAAAGCTGAGAGACCTGGGGCTGTTCAGGCTGGAGAAGAAAAGGGTAGAATTATAGAATCATAGACTCCTTTCAAAACTTGAAGTTAATGAAAATAAGAAGTTGAAAAGCTGCTTCTTCTCCAAGGAAAATAGGGATATCCTACTTACCATGAAACTTTTACATCTGACAGTGAACAGGCTTTGTTTTCTGGGTTTAGAATGGTTGGATTAACTTCCAGGGCAGCATTCACTCTAATAACTGGTCTGGCCCTAAAAAGAAGACATCCTTTTGAACAGCATTCTGCACCATGGTAGACAGTGCCCTTCCCACTAAACTGCAAAATGCACGCTGAGAAAATAATTAGTGGAAGTTCAAGAATAATGAATAATCTTGGAGTTGATTAAGGAAAAAGATAAAGATTTTCCTTACTCTTTTACTTCCATCAGAGTTGTGACATTGACAACCGTGTTAAGGAAAAGTCCTTCCTATTTTCAACACAGACAAATTTGGTATTTTCCCCAAATGACCAAGTCTTGGGGGGAATACTGGGACTGCACAGCGTAATAGCTAACAGCAACCTCTTTCTTAGAATCCAGAAAACTATCAGTCAGAAAGCTTTAAAGACAATTTTGAATTGTCTCGTAACAACAGATACATTGAGAAAGATAAATAATAAGATTACAAATTTCTCCAGTAAAAACAGCAGTATAACCTTTCCTCCTCTCCTATCTTCAGTAGTCTAGAAGACAGAATGGCAGAATTTCAGACTTCACTAATCTTGCTTTGTTTTGGAGCTAACAAATGCCAGTGAGCTTTCCTTCTTAATTTACTTTTACTTTTGTAAAAGCACAGAGTAATACACACCTATACAAAACAGCTGTGTCAACACCAAAGGCTCCAACAATCAAGTCTAAGAAAAAAGGAGAGAAAAGGGAAATAATACACATTTATATATATATATTTTAATAGGCTGTTAGTTAGAGGTAGGGCTGCTATTAATCTGAAGTGACATGTAGAGCCAAGGACCTGGATATCCATTTTTGTCCACGTCTGTGGCTCCTTTCAGTGAGTACCCAAAGCTGGGTGGCATAGTACGAGCAGCCCACTGCCCTTCAAGAATCTGAGATGGGACTGCATTCAAACCAGTTGCTCTTCCATTGTAGATATAGACAAGTCCTCTCTTGTCCTCTCCACCGTACGGTGCAGCTACTGCAATATCTGTAAAACAAAAGAATCATCTTTAACATCTTTAATATTTATGCTGATGATCTGTAATTTCTGATCTTGTAATTTTAATCTATATCAACAGGAACAGAATGTAACAAGTCTTTAAAAAAAAAATTATTTTATTTTTTTTTTATTGTATGCTAGGATATCCTAAAAAGTTAGCAAGAGCATACCAAACTTTTATTTGGGTGTGGAGAGTAAGAGGAACAGTTCTGCAAATACTTATGCACTTCACTAACTCACAGATGGATCAGATGGATTTGGGATAGTTTTGAGTTTATTTAACACCCAAAATCAGTCACTGCTGGAGACAAATCAAATAAGTAAGTAGAACTATTTGTCCATTTCATTAACATGCTCATGTTCCTCCAAAGGGTGTGGTATCTTAATAGTTGTGGAAGACTCTGAAATCAGCCTAAACAAATGTTAAATATTGAATTCCAATCTACTGGTATCAGGGCTTGGCCATTTATTTTACAGATAATCTTCAGTTACAGCAATTACATTCTCTCTTTAGTTTAATATGTTTGTGAGCACTTAACAGTTAACAATAAACAGTAATAAATGAAATGCTAATCAGACTCCACAGGAAATAACACCTCTAAAAGCAGCTTTAGAAGCGTACTGGTGACCTAAAGTAAATGTTTTCCCAGCAGGTTCAAAGTTTTGCTTAACATGCAAGTGTTTAAATACTTAACAAGATACAGAGAGTAATTAAATGAGTCCCCATTCTTCTCCTGATTTTGAAAATGTTTCTTAAGAGAACAAATACCTTACCATTTCATATTTTAAAACTCATCTTTACAAACTTTACACAAACAATAGAAATTTCAATCTTGAACCATACTGTGATGAAAAGCATTTTAATTAGCACTCCCAAAGTGGAACAGAACAAAAAATGAATAAAGTAGATCTAATAATGGCATAATAATTACACTTACAACAAGGAAGATTTTCGCTACGATTTTCTCACCTATACGTATTTCAGACTGAAATATGATGGAATGAAAGCATTGTCTGGATCATCTAATCAAGTGAACAGTTGTTTTTTTTTTCTTAGCTGTAACCTTTCCAATGTCTTCCATGAATAGGTGCAGTGATGTTGAATCCTTGCACTAATTCTATACACTACCACTGACTAAAAAAATTTAAGTATTAACTTGATCATATTAAATGGCATAAAGTATTTCGAGCTACCATACATGTGGTACCAAACTGGCACATTGCAAAAGGATTCTGAAGTTAGCATGCTCATACTCGGCCTAAAATCAGATTTTTATCCAATAATGGCTAAGTTAATTATGTAAATTGCTAAGTAAAATGCTAAAACAAATATTTATTTATTAAACGTGTTCTCCTAGGACCGTGAAAGCCTCTGACCCAAAACTATAACTGTTGGCTGTTTGTTTGTTGTCCATGCCCAAGTCAAAGTTACAAGAAGCACTGGCCAAAGGCTTGGGATTCCACACTTTTGGTCAGAGTCCACACTTATGCTCAGGAAACCCAGCTCTTGGTGCAGTTAGCTGTAGTTGTCACAAAACATTTTCAGTAAACTTTTCAATTAAATTAAAAATAATAATAATAATAATAATAATAATAATAATAATAATATATATATATATATATGTGTGTATATATATATATACACACACACACACACACACACACACTTTTTTTAAATCTAGACTTTTCTCAGGAAAATCTTTTCTATTGAAACAGTTTTAACCAACTCTTGGAAACATTCTCCAGTGATCTTTGTGTTTCTGGAGAGAAAGATTGGCTTTAAGCAATGGAAACAGGTAAATTGTATTGAGGATGTCCAAACAAATTACAGTGGAGACTAAGATATTTAACCAAAATAACTACTGTACTTATCACCTAGAAAGAAATACACTTCCAGCATAACAACTAAAATAATCCATGCTGTAGTTTAAATGGTATAGTCTCTGCTCGATGCATACATGTAACTCCTGTTAGCATTCTTGGGAGTAGCATACAAGCATCGAAAGGAGTCTAGACCTTAGTGTCCAACATTCACTCATGGTTAGAATTCTTAATGTTTGCATGCAGAATCCAAACTTCACGTCGTCTAGATTTTATCTATAAACTTAAAATTCTGGTCAAAAAATGATGTCCTACCATTAAAGCCATCCTGGTCTAGATCACCCAGGGGTGCAATAGCACTGCCAAATCTTGCAAATATCTCAAAACCATTCAGCTTTGCGATCTGAAACCCTCCAGAGGCTCTTTGAAGACAAATGGAAACTTGGCCGACCTCTTGAAGTTTCCCATCAGAACCTCGATCCATAAAGAGTGGGGCTCCAATAAACAAATCTGTGTAACTGGACCAAAGAGGGATAAGGTTCTTTTAATAACAGCATGAAAATCCAGTTTCATTCTCTCAAGTATCCATTAGCAGGAATAATTCAGCACTCAAGCCAGTGTTAACATGAAAGTTTCCCATCATTGAATTGCAACAGAAGGCAAATATTTATGGCAAAGGAAGCCATATAACAAACAATTTAACGCATTTAAAGCATGTGAATACACATGCATTTTTGTAAGTATATAAAAAACGAATCTACACTTGACAAAATGTTGAAGTCTAGTGAAAAAGTCTATTGTATAGATACAATTAACCAAGTTAAACAAGATAAAAAAGCATATTATAAGCATTTTTTGTTTGTTTTTAAATCTTTCCAGAAATATTGGGTGGAAAGGGGGAAAAGGAGCCCACTTACTCGTCCCCATTGATATCTGTGGCAGCCACTGAATACCCAAAATAGGCAGCCATCTGGAAAACAAAATTCAAAACAAGTTTTTGAGTTCTAATGACATAAACACACAAGAATGCTTGTGCAAAGCTTTTTAGAAGTGATATTAGGGAGATGATTATATATACCGTAAAAAAAAAAAATCTCATTTTTGTCTTCAGTACTCTGTTAGAAGGTCAACTTGTGAGTTACCTTCCCCATTCTGCCTTTCATGATCCAGTACTCCTTCTCAGTTATCGAAATAGGCAGCATTTGCTCTACCCAATTAAGATTTTTTTTCTAAGTAGCGTCAAGTGTCTAAGAATCACAAAACCATTAAGATTGGAAAAGACCAAGATCATCTAATCCAAACATCAGCCCATCACCACCGTGTCTACCAAACCACATCCATAAGTAGCATATCTACCCTTTTCTTGAAAAACTCCAGAGGTGGTGACTCCACCACTCCCCTGGAGAGCCTGTCCCATAAAACAAGAACAGTACCATAAAACAAGAACAGTACCATAAAACAAGAACAGTACCATAAAACAAGAACAGGCAGAACTTACAATTCCTACACATGTAAACATTTTTTTGGCACTGAAGCTAATAACATAGGGAATTTTACATAATCTAGTACCCAAAATAGTTTCTTAACATATCATTTCTCATTAAAAACAGCCTCCCTGTCATCTACCACACTGAAGGAACATACCTGCTCTCCAGTGAAGTTGTACATGGAGGACATGTTTTTCCCATTGTAGATGGACACCTGCACATGAGAAAAAACACATTATGGCAAAGCAACAACTTCAATCTTTTCATTTATTATGAAATTAACTGCTTCCAATTTCCTACCATGCCTAGAGTTCTTGCTGCTCTTGGGACTCCTGATACAAAGTCTGAAATACAAAACAAGACACCCATATAACATTCAGTTTCCAAAGCAGAATGCCTTCTTTTGTACAGGGTAGCTCATTCCTACTGCTTTATACGTTTTCCCTTGCACTTTATCATTTGTTCTACACCACTTACTTGAAAGTCCTGCACAGTGAATTACCATTTTTTACTCAAACAACAATCTTACCTTCTATGCCATCACCATTGAAGTCTCCAACAGCCACGGAATAACCTGATTAAGAGAAAAATTAGTAAATGACTTCAGGAACATTTTTAAGCCTTTCACCTCTCTAAACTTTTCACAAGTCTTGATGCACAAGTCTCTTGCTTCACACTGAAATATAATGAAACAATTTTTTGCCTCTGAGTAGATTAGATGATGAACAGTAACACAAGCAGACTGTAACTCATCAGCTTCTGAGTGAGAAGACAAATTCAGTGGGTGAATTTAACAAACTTTGTATACCAGGTCTTTTATGACGAGAAGTGTGTCAGGCAGTTATTTAGGATGAGTACCTGGGAAATGTCCACATTCACCCTTAATATTTTTCTGAACAGTTAGACATAGGTAAAGCTAAATGGTAACTTCCTACTTGTCAAAGGCAATCTTCTCATTAGCATTCTTTCCAAACATGATTCTGTCCCATTTTTGCTTCGTTTTGATATGTTATTTAGAAACAACTACTTTTCTAAAATAAATAGCTACGTGAGTAACTTGCCAGGTAAATATCATACCTGATAAGTTGTATTAGGCCAAAATTACAGAGCACCAAAACGTACAGAAATAGTCCCGTTTATTTTGTGATCAGCTGGTTTTTGAGTCAAGATTACGGCAAGGTAACTAAGCTTCTTTCATACAGGCATTACAGCATTTTTGGCTCTCTTCTTATCTGCCAAAATTTAAATTAATACTGTGGTCTACAACTTAATAGAAAGAATATGAATAGCATAAGAGCTTTCGTGTTTGTTTTGTTTGATTGTTTAAGTACAACAAGATTTACCTCCCTTTCAAGCTACATACCCAAGTAGCTGTCATCAAAAGCAGCACTAGCAGGTCTGGTTGCTAACTGGTCGTCATATTTTGTACTGTAGACTTTGGAGTCATATTTAGCCACAATCTCTGTCACTCGATCAGAAATGAGCTGGCCTAAAGATACAGAAAACAGCTTAAAACACATGTGCACGCATACAGTAAACAAGACAGATTTATGAGATACTTGCTTATAAAGCAGCAGCTCTTCCACAATACTGATCAGAAAACAGCCAACAGCAGCAACACCAGAAAGGATAAAAATGGAAATCTGGATCCTACTGCAGCAAAGATTTATGCACATATTTAATCAAAAGCTCATGACGTGTTTCCACTGAAAATAGAGGCCACTCCTATACGTAAGGCAGGACTTGAATGAGACTGCTCAGTTAGGTAAAAGTAAGCATATGCTTGTGCTATTTCAGAGCTGAGTCATCCCGCTCTTGTCTCAATTCCATAGAATGAGAGCTTAGTATGGCAGTAAACAAGCTCTTAACAAGCTAGTGCTTTACTGCCTTCTTCCTGTTCTCATTTCACTAGCCACTAGATGGTGACTTCATCACATTCCTTTCTTTGAGTTTAAAATTAGATTGTATTGCAAGACATTTTTTTCCAGGAGAGCACTGACTTCACATTTCCAGATGTGTATGCAGCACAGGGACAACTACTCTTCCAGCATCTCAGAACGTGGGGTAAAAATACAGTTTTCACAAGTATGCTATTGGTATCTTCTATTCAGAGCTGAGATTGATCTTCGGTAGTAACAGAAGAGAATAAATAGTTCTAACAGATGAATTTGAATCTTTGCCAGAAAGCAATAAGATGAATAAAGGTACATAATGTATATTGTATTCTGTCTGCAGCTGAATTGCAATCATTTTATTTGGTTTGGAGTTTTGAACATAGAACTAGAAAGAAGTCTCTTGTGATGCTAAGTCTACGTGTTGCCTGGCATTATACAGAAAATCTTTTAAATATTTTGGTATTTACATTATAAAACGAAGGCAACAAATGTTGGCAATTCTGTCCTGGTTGTAACAACCATCTTCCAAACTGAGGGCTGCAGGTAAATACTGCAAGACCCAGCATACAAGTACTCACTGAAGCCCACATTTACAAAATATGAATGAAAAGATGTTAAGAAAATTGAAGAGGTCATCCTATTCTGTAACTTAAACAATGTATCTTACCTTGCCAGTAAAAACTGCCAGGTCCTCCAAGCAGGACTCTGTCTCCCTTGGGGGAAAAAGTAAAAAGGGGGAGGGGAGGTAATCTTCAAATTAATTATTTCTAGAGACCAAGAGAACACGTCCTGTATTTATGGGAATCAAATAATCACATGCAAATACATTGCATGTAAATAAACCACATGTAAATAAGTTGTAGCTTCACTGACCCCACCACTCCACCCTTCACATTTTTTGAAGGAATGATTGATTAATCCTAATTTGAAATGTATACACTGTAGAATACTAAGATAAACTACTATATCACTTCAGTGACTTGCTTCTCTATATCTTCCATCTAAAATTATCAGCGTCATTTTGCTTTTTGTTTTAGTAGAACTTTATATCCAAGTAAGGCAACAAATATATTTGGGGGAGAGTATAAAGATTGCTACAAACCAATACGATTTTTGGCCAGTACACAAAACCAGACTCATCTTCTGCCCCTCTTTTTTCTACAACTTCTTGTTAGTCAAGTTTAATTCAGAAAAGCTGTAATGTAATTCAGCTCCTCCATATTCCCTGGTAGAAATGCAGTCCACAAACCATTTTAAGCAACTTGAACCACATTAGCTATCCCAGTGCTGGGAATTTGCTCCATAAGTACTTTACTCAATCAGACCATTGGCTTTGCTACATAACTAAGCCACTTATCCTCATTTTCATCTAAAAACCTCTCACATTCACCTCTCAGAACAAAATAGGTCAGAGATTTGGAGACACCAGTCTTGCCAACTCAGCTAGGGAGGTGGAGTGGAACCCAGCATTTGTTTTAACAGGAGCTAGAGTCTGCACAGTAGTCCTGAAGGGTACAGGCAAAATAAATAAATACTTCTAGGCCAATATTTACACAGTCTGTGGAGCAGAAACAAGGGTGTCTTCAGGCAAAGAACGAAGGAGTATTATGCAATATAAGGTTTGAAAAACCCAAACGATTGCCACATCGCAAATGGGTCTTACCAGGCCCAGATAATGCTAAACAATTTAAGAGATAAAAAAAAATGATGATAAAAGAACTATAGTTAGTTCTGAGATTCAGGCACAATTTTATTGTGAGCAGATTTAAGAAGTTATTCTGAATTTAAAATATAGGTATATTAAAGGGAAGGAGAATATACTATAGAAAAAAAATATAATAAAGAGGGCAAAAAAGTCTATTTCTCCTAGTCACTGAGAAAAACAAAGCTCCATTCACAAGAATGCTGTCTACAAGTTCCTTTCAGCAGTGAGTTACTTTTCCTCAACAAGTACCATTAGCCAGGCACTAGTCCTTCCAGAAAAAAGGCTCTGAAGACATTTTACCTGAGTACTAGCTGCAGCAGGGCTTCATAGCATGAGGCTGGAAAACTGGATTATTTATTTTTGACATGACTCCTAGAAGTGGTAAGTGAGCTGTTATGAAGGTGTAGGGAGAAACGTGTTTACACTACTGGAATGGTTTGAAGGGATTGTTGTTAGTTTACGAGGAGTTTATCGTTGGCTTTCTCTCCTCGGCTCGACCAGGAACGGTGGTTTACATGTAGTTTCATAGTGTCTCTGCTTGTATCAGGGTGGTTGTTAAATTGGAACCATCTGCTGAGTAACGGGAACTAAGTAACAATCACATACCTTTGTAAAGTCGATACTAAATCCACCTTGACAAAATCCTTGCCCATCTGCATCAATAGTGGCTAAAGAACAGATATAGAAGGAAAAAAAAGAAAATCAAAGTAGTAAATCAGGTTGTTTTGTAGATTCTTCCCAACATCTTTTTAGGTAACATTGCACTCCTGACCTTGAAGTTTGTAAACTTATTTCTCTTGAATTAGTATTTTCTCTTTACAAACAACTCACCATCAAATGCTGTAATACATTCAGGGCTGGCCTAACATGTATTCTAACCTTAGCATACTTTACAGCCTATTTCAGTCTAAATAAGCAGCAACTGCATATTTCTTCTGGATTTAATCTTAAATTATCAAGAAAAAGACGTTCCTTGTTTTATTCAGGAAACCATGGAAAATATAGAACAAGGTTTGCTTTTCTTATGGAAAAAAATTAAAATTGAAATGTAAATAACAATAGGATATTTGAAGTATTGCTTAAAAGAAAAGTTGCATACCTTGCTGAAAAAATCCCCACACACTGAGACTCATCTACAGCTGGCTTAATCTTATGACTATATAGGTCCAGAACAGAAATGCAGACACTCATCTAGAATCGTGACTAACTGAAGTTCATACTTTCTTAATTAACCTCTTTTCCTGTTGGACCACAATGGATTTCAACCCTGCCTTTCACTAATGCCTTGGGGAAAAAAAATAAAAACAAAACTTTATGCAAGTGCTCAACCTTTAGACTTGCATAGTAGGAAAAAAAAAAAGAAAAAGAAAAAAGAAAAAAGAAAAAAGAAAAAAGAAAAAAGAAAAAA